ATGTGTGTGTGCGTGTGCCCCGTTGAGAATGATATGTGTAAGTATAAATAAAAAACAAATACTTTCTATCTAAATAACTCTACCTCGACTAGCGGTATTTCATTAATTTCTAATTTATATTAAGTTGCAATGTTATGATATTCGCACATACATACATACGTGTATATATATTTTTAAGTATTTTAAAATACCGTTGGAAATGAATAACTCAGTTATTTGATCCTTAATCCTTTAGTTCTACTCTGAAGTAAGTTTTGGAAATCCAAAAGCTCACGCAGTGGCAAGTTTCATTATATAATATACTATATATGTATTTATAATCGACGTTTTGTGAGCGCAATTGGAAAATATAATTTCATAAAATTTTAAAGCTACTCGAACCAGAACTCGAAAATACCAGCGGAATTATTACTAAATATATTAAGAATTATTTCATCCACGGTCTCTGATACTAAGAAAGTCAGTTAAGATTCTCTTAATTTTTAAAAAACTCCAAATTTTCGCTAAAAGAAATTTTCGTTGCGATGAGGATTTTGACGATACGAGTCGAAGCAGCTTTAATAAGGCCAAGAAATATTTTTAATTGTAAGCTTTAGACTAAAAAATAAGCTTTTATTGATATGATCTATAATAAGAGTTTGTGGAAAAATGTTGGAAATGAAATAACGTTCGGTGGCGGGACACGTTCTTTCGTTCCTCCTAAAGGGATTGTATCAGAATTATTCGGAATATGTTGTCCTCTATTTCTGATTCCACCAGCGGGTACTGCATCAAAAACTCTCAAAGCTGGACTATTCTTATCCGTCCAGACCACATAGCTTAGCCAGCGTAGCCGCTGCTTCTAGACAGGATTGGAATGTTGAGTGGTCTGTAGGGTTCGGTATATCATTCGAATGCCTTGTCAGTCGCAGATAGCACCAATTGGCAAGGCTGGTGTAGGTCTGGATGATTTTTGTTTATTTGTTGGTTGTTTTATTTAGCAGTAGTTCCTTTTCATTTTATCGAAAGTTGCTTTAAAGTCGGTGAAAAGTGGGTTTCATCATATGAGAATGGGCACATACTACAGTATTACGATTTCGTGAATTCGGCAGAGCACACTTAATTTCGAATTGTCGGACATGCTTGCATCCGGGCATTTTTGCAGCTGTTTAGTTCTTTGATACCGTATTTAAATAACTCGGCCGGCAACCTCTCGTCCTCCATTGCTTTGTTGCTTTTCAGATCAGTAATTGCTATTCGAGCTTCTTCATAGTCGGGCAATGAAACATCTGTCAATCACCACCGATTAAGAAGACGAGTTCTCCATATCCGGGAGTCGCAGATCTACTTTAATTCAGCAGACTAAAGATGTGCTCCCTGCAAGGTCTGGATATGGGCCAGTGGGTTTTCATATTGGTTCCTCCCTAAGTCTGCCCCTGTCTTTTAATTGGATTTCCAATAAGTCAGTAGTAAGATCGTGAGGTAGGCAGACTGTTTTCCCTCCTCTGCCGTTCGACATTCCTCATCAGCTCTTTTTCTGACGCTGTCGAAAACCAATTGTTTCCGCAGTGGTGGTACGCAGAAAGTTTAAGATGTCATTCCACAGTTTCCTTATATCCAGTTGCTGATGAGTGGTCTCAAAAAGCAGGAGTGCCAACCGAGTAGACAACCATTACAGTTTTTTGACTTGGAACTTTCCTTGTACTTGTTGATGGACATTCTTTGCGGCAACAAGATAGTGGCCCGAGTCCTCGGAGTGCACGTACGTCAAGAACTATAGATCCGTGTATCACAACATGATCCATCTGGTTTTGTGTTTTTCAATCTGGAGATATTTTGTATTTTCTTGTGCGAGAATCTAGTACTACATATAACTATATTATGGACCTCAGCGAAGTCGGTCAGCCTCAACCCATTTGGGGATTACTCCTTGTGGAGGCTGAGTAGTGCGATCGTGGCACCGAAGATACACTCTTTGCCCACCCTGGCCTTAAAATCGTTTATTGGTACGCTCCAGGTGCTCCTAATGGGTTGAAAGCCAGTACTCGGCGAAACAAGCCCGACACCAAATATTGCGCTCTATTACATGAACGCTGTAGTGTATTTCACAGGGTCCCCGCCCTTGTTCAACACCTCTTGTATGACGATGATCTCAGAGTTAACTTTTAAAAATACATCAAACTACGATTTTTAGAACTTCATGTAGGGATGATCATCTGGAGCTTCTTATTGTAATTTTTTATTACTGATACCTACTCCTACAAATAATGGCCTTTTGGCTATGGCATGTCATCTCTCAGCTTTCAGTGGCGGTTATGTCAGTCTTGAGTCTTAGTTGAGGACATCAACCAGCTGGACAGCGACTCCTTCCCAATTAAAGGACCGAATATTTTACATATGTTTATGCCTTCTAATCGTTTTCTCTTAAAAGATTCGACACCCCGAATTGGGTTTTTGAATTTTATTTGGAAGTTCATTTTTTATGTGGTGGGTCCCAAACAATACCCACAACCGCGGAAGATTTACCTTCTCACTTCGGCATGCGTCCAAACGGATGTTTGTCGGCTACTTAGAGGATACTTGGATCTTATACCATTTCATTTCAGGTCCCATAACCTTATCCGCCGAAACGTTAAATTAATTTGTCATTAAATAACAGAGGGGGCTGACTTTTAAGAGACCTAAGATTGCTAGAGATGATAACACTAGTTGCGGGACTCACAATTAGTATAAATAACATAGCTCGAACAAGCAACAACACTACATATATCAACGGTAACGGGATGTTCTTGCAATTTGGAGCAACGCCCTGTGATTAAGTTCCTTGTGAAAACAGAAGTACACTGAGAGAATTTTTAGAGAGATTTCAGCGGCTCTTCAGGACTCTGCTCTGGTCGTGACCGAAAAAAATGTTCAGAAAGGATAAAAATTAGTACGGGCTGACAAAATAATTAAATTATGGCAGATTCCAGAAGGGTTACAGATTAGCAAAGCACGAGCTGGAGAGATTTTGCGTGAACTCTCGAATATGAAAAAAATTAGTAGACGTTGGGTTCCTCAATTGCTGACGTTGCTTGAGAAACAGCGACGATTGGGGCGTTGTAAAGATTTTTTGGAGTTGTGCCAAGCTGATTTGGTTAAAATTTGCAGCCGCTTTAAAACAAATGATGAAACTTTGATTCGTCAGTATAAACCCGATTTCAAAGAGAAGTCCATGCACTAGAAAAATTTAAAATAATAAATACAGCGTCGAAATTTTTTGCTACTGATTTCTGGGATAGCTAGTGAATAATATTAATTGATTACTTGCCAAAGAGGACTACAATGAAAGGTTAGAATCAAGCTAATTTCTTGAGTGAGGTGCATGAGGTCAAACAGTCATACAGACGGATGCGGAGGATGCCCTAACTGCTACTGGACTTACAGAAATTGATCATCCACTTTAGAGTCCGGACTTGCTGAGTGATTTTTTCTTTGCTTTTCAAATTTAAAAAAAGGAGTTGCGGGTACCAAGATTTTTAGACGATAGTGAGTTGAAAGCATCCGTAGAAAACTATTTTGAAGAGAATTTTAAATAATCTTTTTTTCAGTGGTATATAGGCATTGTATTCACGATGTGAAAAGTGAAGGAGAATTTATTTGAAAATAAAAATCTTTGTACTGTAAATTTGTTTCATTAAGTACTTCAGGTCACGAAAAAGTCAGCAGCACCTCGTAAGACTATGTCAGCCCTCTAAAAGCCAAAAAAAATATATTTATTTGGTCTATACAAAAATTCTGCGCTGCTAAGCTAATAAATAGTTGACAATTTAACACACAATTTCTACTCAAATTATAGTCTAAAATTTTGTGTTTTTAAGAGAAATCTGCATTTCCATTATCGTCAATAATCATCAACTTTGGCATTTTTTTTTTGACGAAAGTCACAGCGTAAGCACAAATACTCGCATACACATGTGTATGTATGTAAGTGCAAAAAATAAATACATTGCCTTAAGCTACTTTTGTGTCATTTTAAAGCAAATATTCACTATGTATGTATGTGGAAATCCAACTCTTCTTAGTTTTATTGCTTGTTTGTTTTGTGTGAAATGCCATAAAAGTCATTCATGCAATTTGAATAGCAACATTTGGCATTGCTTTTCGCATTTTGGGCATTTTTTTGGAAAGCCATACACATACACGTGTATGTACTATAGAACACACACATATACATGTATGTGCGTTTAATATTTACAAATGCGTTGCTGTCACATATTCAACGGCAAATATATTTTGGTGTCACATATTTTCCATTTAGTGTGTTTACTCGTGTAAGTGCGCGCGAGTGTGTGTGTGAGTGCGCGTGTGTACGTATGCGGCGGTACTGGCATTCAAATAAACTGTCACACATTTGACTTTTGCTTATGACATACCATATATTCATATATTTAAGTATATGTACGGTTATATGTTGCTTTCCGCTTACAATTTTGCAGTTCACGTTCTTTGGCTTATATCAAGCTTATAATAAATAAAATATCCTTGAAAATGTAAATATTTATTTTGTATACTTCATTCGCACACAACACATGCGTGTGGTTATGTGTTTTGTTTGTGGGCGTGTCTTCTTTGTGGGCGTGTGTGTTATTATGTTGATATTTGTGTCGTTTGTCTGCACGTGTTTCGTTCTATTTAGCATGATTTTAGGCGTAAAATTTGCGTGTTCAAATGACTGTGTGTGAGAATAAATGCGGTTTTTTGCCAAAGGATTGGCTTGATGTATTGTATAATTATAACAATTAATTTGTAATTTTTTTTTTTATCAAAATCTTTAGCTATTTTTTAAATAAGAAATAATCATAGATTTTAATTGGCGACAAGGGGTTTTAGTGATTACTTTTTAAAAGTGTTTAATAATATTCAATAAAGTATTCAAATAATTTTAGATAATAATAAATGACAAAAGATATTTATTTACTAAGTAATATATATATTATATATATATATATAGATATGTCTTCATTTAACTTGACACTCACCTTATATATTCCGAATATCAGCATGACACTTAGCACAATCATAGACATTTGCGTGCCAATAATGGCAAAGTATGCAATTTGAACACCTGAAATAGTAAAATTTAATATAAAAATTTATTTGGTTAAAATATCGGGCAAAACAAATACATTTTCATTATCAAATAAACCGTAGCTTCTCTGTATTTCTAGACCTCACCAGAAATTAGAGATAATTATTTTTGCAATAAAAGCAGAAATTACTTAACTCTGATAGAGACAGTGAAATAGTGTAGGAAAAGCGACCTACCCTAATCCTTCAGTGAAATAGTGTAGGAAAAGCGACCTACCCTAATCCTTCTCAAACCCCGTGACTTCTTATTAAATCGTATATTTTAATAATTATATTGAGAGCCTAAATTAAGCCGGTCCGTTTTCAAAACATGGCTCCACCTGCAAGTTGTGGTCGTTCCTGAAAATTGTTGCCTACCATCAATTTCATTGCATCAGCGTCGGTTTCTTACAACAGGGAAGTTTTAACTCTCTACTTCAGTTACAAAAAAAGTGCAGCTGAATCCCTCGAATGATTGTGAAAATTTGTGATGTATCTGCGCCGACCCACAAGTCTATAAGACAGTCGTATCGACGCTTCAGAAGTTGTGATTTTAGCGTCGAAAACAAAGTGCATCCCGTTAAACCCAAATGTTTGAAAATGACAAATTGGCGACTTCAATGGATCAAGATCCATCCCCATCGTGCTCTGACAGCTAAATGGAAACATTAAACTGGAAGTCTTACTTAAGCCGCCGTTTCCTCTAGACTTTACTACTTCCAACTATTTGTTCTCTCTCCGAATTCAAAATGATTGAGGGGCGTCACCGGTTCGGGCCTTTTGAAGAAATAAAAAAAAACGCTGATTTATTGGATCTCAAGGGCAGAGAGGACTTCTTATTGAGAAATGGCATTCGCTAGCTACAATATTTAAAACTATTGAAATTAATTTTTCTAATTGCGGAGCCGCTCGTCAAGTGATATTAATCCCTTCGAATGTATTTTTGTCATGAAAATCAAAGCGCCTGATAAAAATCCAACGATCCTTCGAAGATACCGTAGAATGAGCAGTTTGTACTTCCATTTGCTGGAAAGGCATCAGCAGAAAAAAAAATCGCTTTTAATGGACAATAATTTGAGTGATGTGCTTTTTTTATTTTTTCAATATAAAATTTTTTTTTACATAAAAAAAAGGAACCGAATTTATTTGTACACCCAACACAGCGGCAAAATGATATTTTTGAAATAAAATAAAAAAATTTCATTTTGGAATAACCCACAGATTGTTATAGCTCATAAACTGTATGAGACAGCAGTTTTCTGCGCTTGCATTGTGACTCCAATAATCTCTTTGATAAATTTAACTTCAGCCCCAGCCAGTTAGTACCTTGCTACAGTTATCGGCCAAGAAATGGGGAAAACCAACCGACAAAGATAGATTAATCTACACCACGACAGTGCGAACTCTCCTACAGCGACTGAAGCAATTGCATTTTTAAGCGCTCAGAACATCGGATTGATGAATCATTCAACCTGTAATTCTGCCTTGACTTCGAATGACTTTTTTTTCTATATCCGCAGTTAAAAAACGAGCACAACGGTCAATGTATTTCGACATCTCAAGAGGTGGTTGACGAGTTAAGCACGCTTGTTCTGGAGACATCTCGGTCAGAATGGCAAGTTTGCTACGAAAATTTGTTCAAATGATGCAGAAGGTGTATAAATCTCACGGTAGAATATTTTAAAAAATATATCGAAATTCAAATGGCAATCTAAAACCTAATTTCAACTAATTTAATTTGTATTTTCATTGATTCTATTTATTTTGATTATAATTTTCAATCCACTTTTTAAATTATCGTAATTTAATCCAATAAAATCTGCTTTATTTTGTAATTTATTTTTTCCATGCATTTAAATCTGCTTTCCAAAAAGTCTATTTGTAAAAAAAAGTCTTAAACACTTTTGGGCTTATGTAGATTGCCAAATTTCACGTTAAGTCTTCTTAGCAAGCTCACACATATTCGCCATAATACCTTGATAATGACGGACACACACATATGGATTTTCACATGCCTTTGAGAGCTCAGCCCACATATTGTTGGTCAAATACTATTAGGATTTTGCGTCAACAAAGCAGAGTTTACAAATGAATATCTCATATAAATTGACAAAGGGATTATATAACCTTAACTGATTGGTTCTAAGCCCTTGCTTTTGGCCTGACTTGTGTGGGCATTACAACATTTTCAAAACATTTAGGCTTAAAGCCAACAAAACAATGGCATTATTTGGCCAGGCGAGCACTACAGAGTGCAACATTTCACTGTTATCTTGAGCAAATACATGCGCAGTATGAGAAAAAATATATTTTTTGAATTGCTTATTTTATGCATGGCTGAAGTGATGGTGAAGTCATGATTTTATAGCAATTAAGGCCTATTAAGTAATAATTAAATTAGCATTTTATATAATAAGTAGTAATCATAAAAGGAAACTATACGAATTTCATGCGTAAAATTATACGAAAAGCAAAGTTAACTCACCATAATAAACGTCCTCCAACGTTTCCGCCTTGCGCATATTCACATTTATGCGCCATGAGTATATCAAAACAATTAAGAGTGACATATTCTGGAAGAAGTAAAGAAAAAGAAAAGAAAAAAAAATAAATTAATTAAATTTAAATAGTAAGCAAAGATGTGTTGGAGATGTTGCTGCAATAAATAATATAAGTGTAATGTATTATTATTAATATGTCATTAAAGGCACTCACGCCACTCACAAGGCAAACTCGTAACTCATACGCCCTGACACGCACTCGCAAACGTTTATCGTTTTATTACACTTAATTACAGTCTGTATTTTACAGTTTTTTCCTTCACAATAGTAATAAAGAGAAAGGGTCACAAGTGTGTGCGAAAAAATGTGAAATAATTGTTAACTTGATTTTTTTTTGTAATGCACTTAATTAGTATAATTGATGTCATTAATGCAATTAACATATCACAATAGGTCATAAATTATTGGATATGTACAGTCTCATGCGTGTGTTTGCGCCGATATATATATTCCCTGGCAGTGAAGTAAAAATGAAAGGGACGTAAATATTTTACAAACGAACTGGCGTAAAATGTAAGAAAACAGACCAATTCAGATTGAGCTTGAAACACATCTGCTAAACTATAGTTGCAACAATGTATTTGTTATGTATAATATTTCGTGGCTTCAAATATACAGGGTTGTATTTTGAAAGCTCTTGAAATTTGCTGTGAAGACAAACATATTTTTTTTTAATTATTAAAACCTACTAAAAATGGTGATTCAAACGTGGCCTCATTTCGTGCTCTTTAAAAGCAGATTAATCGTGCAAGTACCCAGGAAATTGTTAAAATTTTAAATAAATTTGAAAAACTGAATCGATTAATGATTTTTTAGGTCTTAGTATTACCGCCTTGCTCGTTCCACCTCAAAAAAAAAGGAAACTAATTTAAGGTGGGGCCGAAGGCCTATTGGGTTGCCCCAAAGGAAATAGGCGATTTTTCATATGGACGGCGTTGACAATTTTTTTGAACAGCTTGTGACGATTTAATTGTATATTTTTATTTACAGTTATAAGCTGTCACTTTTAGCTTGTTCTACAAAAAAAGTTACGGGTAATTTTGCTTGTATTTGTTTGTTTGGCTTCAATTTAAATATGGAGCCCACAAGAGAACATTTTCGCCAGATTTTACTTCATTATTTCCTTAAAGGGGAAAAAGGCAGCGCAAGTTACTAAAAAGTTGCACAATTTGTATGCTGATCAGGCCTTAAAAGAAACAAAGTATCGTAGTTAGTTCGTCAAAATCCGTTCGAGAGATTTTCCACTCACATTTAAGCCACGTTCACGTCAGCCAAATTGATGTTGACGATATCAAAGCCTTAACCGAATCGGATCGTCATGTAACTGAGCGTGGGATTAGAGAGAAGTTAAGAAGAAGTTAGCAAAATCAAGCGTACATAATCATAAACGACATAACAAAAATGTTATTTGTGCACCACATGAATTGAAAGAAATTCTATTAACAAGCTGCTTCAACGCTGGTCTTAAACGCTATGAATATGAGCCGTTTTTGAAAAAAATCATAACTGAAGATGAAAAATGGATTGTTTGCAATAACGTCAATTAAAAAGGATCATAGTACTAGCATAATAAAGCATCACAAACCATTTCAAAGGCAGATATTCACCAAAGGAGTATATTTCGAGCTGCTTCCACGGAATTAAACGATTAATTAGGATATCCACTGGCAACAACTGGACAAATTGAGTACATCCATCAAACGAGAAGGCGTCCTATTCCACCAGGATGAATCCACCCTATAGCTCTGACCTTGCACTGTAAGACTACCATTTGCTTTGATCTTGGCAGAACTCATTAAAGGACAAAACTTTCGAAAATGACGAGGCCATAAAATCGTGTTTGTTTCAGTTTTTTTGCAGATAAAAGCCAGAAGTTCTATGAGCGTGGAATAATGATGTTGTCGGAAAGATGGGAAAGATGGCGAAAGGTCAACCAACAAAATGGATATTAAATAATTGATTAAAGTTCATTATAAAATGAGCTACAGCACTTTTTCGGCCGAATTCCTCCTCCAATTTGTGGTTTTGTGCCATGTGAATGTGAACAAACAAAATGTTCCTGATATGAAATTAAAGAAAGAATTGAAAAATTTCACCACTTGGCAATCCCAGTGGGCCTCTTTAACTAAGATTAAATATCGTCAAATAATTCAAAATATGGAGAAAGAATTGTAACATTGCAAGCCGATTAGTAAGCCGATTAATAACGGTTGTTCGAGTTTTCTGTACAAAAATACGTAGCAGAATTACTCAATACTACACAACTCTAGCCTGAATTTTCAGTTAAACCATAAACTTAATCTCTTAACGCCTTTAATAGGTTACCAAACCTTAAGGAGCAGCAAACTATATTTAGTTTGTTTGAAAAAAATACGCAATACCGCTAAAAATAATGCGAACTTTATAGTTTTAACATGCTCCCATTACGATCTAGGCATAAATAAATATGTCACCTGTGGCACAAGTAAGCCGTCATGCAACTTGACTGCTGCCATTTGATGTTGTGATTTAATATAATTATAACCAAATATGCACGTGCGAAATGCAACAATGCCATTGTTGTGGTTATTGTTGTACTTAGCATTTGTATGTGACTGCTTAAAGCAACTATTGTATATATATGTACAAATATGTATGTATTTCTGCATATTTTTATGTATTATTTCCATTCGCTTGCACATGCATAGAAATATATAAATTTTCTGCGCATGTATAGGTATTGTATGGTATATGCCACAAATGCCGCTTGCCACATGCCATATGCCACACGCTCCACGTATTAAAAGCGCACAAATTTAATTTAATTTTTAATGCCATTTATATTCACTGCTTGGGCCAGCGGGGCGTATGCGTGATTTTATTTCGTTCGCTGTTACGTTTCGTATTGTGCCTACGCGCATATACATACATATGTATGACATATATGTATATATTTAGTGCATTTTTTTATTTCAAATACTCGCACTGAACACCAATGTCACGCATGAGCGCAAAGGAATACATACATATAAGCGCTCTTGTATACAGATATTTTTGTATCTGTATTTGTATTTCATTTACTTGTAAGCATTAGTGTGTCACTCAGACAAGCGAAAATGGTTATTATAAAAATTAATAATTCGAGATAAGTACATAAAACAATATGTTTAAATATTATTAAAAATATAAAATTTATTTTCACTCTTCAAAAACGTTTCTTGAGCCACTCCAATTCAAATTAAAAAAAAAAATTAAAACAAAAAACAGCTGTAATTATTTCTTTAAAAAAAAATATTCATTGATTGCCACCTACTGATTGCTTCGTTACACATATAATGCGAATAACTTACAAAAAATGTCAGGCATAGTAAATTTGAAGGTAAAGTCTTTTCCAAAAAGAAATGATATTTTTTGTTATTTTGTTGTTCCGGTGAATTTCACATTCGCGGTTATGACTTTTTGACAACCGACAAGTAAAAACTAATAAAAATGAAACCATTCACGCCTTAACACCGAATTGAGATTATAAAAATCTACTATAGAAATGGTAATAACCTGGCAGGGATGGATTTCTCTTTTGCTGTCCGGCAAGTTGCTTTACGACGACCAAAAAATGGACGGAAATTGTAAAACTTGCAGCCGTTGGAAAAAGTATTTGCCTAAGACTTGATTGAGTCTTAAGGATTACAAAGTTCAGTTAAAATAAGAACTCTAGTCGGCCGATCATCAATAATGTCGTGCCTAAGCTGATTGGGTCGTTAAAATTCATTAAAATGATACTTAATTTCATTGAAAAATTATCTTGACTGATGAGGCTCTCTTCTACTCCGATAACTCCGTCTATATACAAAGTTGTTGTGTCCGGATCTCGGGAAAACCTAAATTTGTTGTGGAGGCATGCTCAATGTATAACTGTTTGGTCTAGTTTTTCCGAAAATGAGGCTGAAGCACCAGTTACGGTGACTGAATTGCGCCAGCGTCAGATGAGTAATGATTTTTGATGGCTGGATTAGAATGCTATTAATCTGACCAATAATTGTTTTCAACAATATGGTGCTATGTGCCACACCAGCAATGAAACCACTGGTCTTTTAAGAGAAAAGTTTCCGGACGGTTTTGTCTCTCGAAGAGGTGATCGCAATCGAATACCGAGATCTTGTGATTTAACTCTTAGCCTCTTCTGCCTTTGAGACCACGTGAAAAATAAAGTATAAGCCAACAGACCAACGTCGATTCAAGAACTAAAATTCGTTAAGCCATTGAGGGCAAACAGCGGCCATTTTGAAATTTGATGTTGGAAAATTTCAATAATATTTTCGTAGCCTGGGAAGCTGTTCCTTTATTTAAGGTGGCATTTTCAACCTTTACTTAAGAGATTGCTTGGATATTGCAAAATATTTAAAACCCTTGGAAGCTTCATAGAAAAATAGTCTCTTATCAGTCTTTGTAAGTTAAATTGATACACCCATTTTTGATAAGCTGCGAGCTGGTTTTGAGACTAGAATTTTGTCTGTTCAAAACTTTTATTGATTTGAATTCAGTAACACCCTAGCACAGTAATTTTTTGAATTCTCATCAGAGTTATGTTTGGAGCTAACAGAATATTTTCATATTCACTTACACACTCGCCATCTCGCACAACACTCAACTGTACTTAATTTCATTTTTTGTTTCAACTTTGCAGAAGTCTCATTTTCACTTCAGACCGCATACAGTTTCGGTTTTTTTTGTTTTTGGAATTTTTTCAGCTTTCATACAAATTATACTTACAATTGTGTAAATCGCACTTGTTAACGCCAAATTTTTCGCATGCAACATGCGACAACATCCTGTCCCCGTTAACGGTCCATATGGATACAATATCACCGATTTCATTTTCTCACCAGCACCGACACCCACGCCCGTCGCCGCTGCTGCCGCCGCCACAACGCAGGTTTTATGTTTGGCTTTCATTTTTATATTTTACTTTTTGATTTGATGCTCGAATTTTTTTTTTTGTTATTGGTTTTTATTTTATTTTACGTTACTTCTGTTTTTTTTTCTTTTTGTTTGTTTGTTGTCCTTGCTTGCTGTTGTGTGTGTGTGTGTGTGTGGGTGAATTTGTGTTATGCAATAAAGACGCGCAACAAAGTGGCACGAAGCGCTTTAGCTGTTGTATGCTACACACCTTTTCCAGCCGCTTTTAAGGCTTTCGTGGTTGTTCTTTTATTTGAAGGTATGTATGTTGTTGTTGTGGTCTACATTAATAGTGTTACTGCAGCTGTTGTAACTGATGAGTCGCAGGTGGCTTTTGCATGAGTCATAAATGTTGTGCATACGCAAGCAAGGGGATGTGGTAAAAATTTGGCTTTATTCGCTTTATTTTTTGACTTACTTTAATTCGTTTTTGTATTATTTTTTTTTTTTTACTTTGATTATTCTGCTCTATAAGTTGCTTTCACGATTTTTGATATAGATTTGTTTACTTTCCCCTTCAGGTTATTATGAATACTTCCACAGCACAATGCCAATTTTTTGAAGGTTACGTATACGCCATGTCAATGGCTGAAGCATTCTTTGTTTGCTTTTATGCTACAACTCCAAGAGTATTGTTGACTTTTGATGTATTTTTTGTGCGATGTAAGTTTAGAATTCAAGCGATATCTGAAAGTAAGAAATAATTGATATCATTGAAAAAACTTTGAATTATTTCTAAATAAATTATTAATTTTTCTCATTTTTAATAGAAAGTTTTGGTTTGTTTTATGAAATAATTTTCTTTTGTTCAAAATTATTTGTCTACTCTTCTTTAAAACTCTTCAAAACATACGACGTTATTCATTTTAGAGTTTTTTGTTTTCATTTTTTAAATTATTCTGCCAACTAAACATGACTAAACACAGAGAGTATGGTCGTTCATTCGGCAGATGATTGATATCTTATCAGGGAAAGCCATTCAAATTCTAGTGAATAAAATTGCATTAGTGAGCTTTTTACTAGTAATAATAATCACAGGTACGAGACTGTTGGAGATGGTCAACATACTAAGATGTGCGGATAAACTAATTGAAGCTCAGATCAGATCAGATCTGGTCCTCAGCACCCCCAATACTTTCATAGTGTACTTTTAAAGATTATTTGAAATCGCTCTTATAGAAAATGCAGCTTCGAAAAAACTTATTACACACCAATTGCCCACATAGATTAGAATGCGGCGAAACATTCGTCCCAAATGGTGGCAGTGCTACTGATTTTTCGAGAGAATACTTTTTATTGCCCATGACCTACCTAATATTGTCAGGTTGCGTTAACGAGCAAAATTGTGGCATCATGAAAACTGAAACCCTCACTAGAATATTTTTTCAAACATAAAGAATCAGTAGCTAAAAATAAAAATAAAAATTAGAATACAACTTCCATTGCTGTATTCCATCTGCGTAGTCAATTTGTAGATTTCTATCGAAACTTCGTTTCAACAGATCACCATAAAATACTTGACAATAAGTCCTCTGTGAATTACATCTACTGGAAAGCCATTTAGATTTACTATCATTTCATTCTGAAGATAACCTTCAGCAATTCAGCAGGCTTATCCACTCCTTATGGTTCAAAATGTTTGAGTGAAATGTCGTCTCTATGGATCTGCCTTTCATTTCACTCCTAATTAGCGCATATAAGGCCCTTTTGAGGCCATTACTTGAAAGACTAGATCTCACCGTCAACAAACGGATTGGACCTCACTAGTCTTGGCTTAGATCTGGTAAGTCAATCATTGACCGGAATCGCCAAACCTAGAAAAAAATCTGTGAAAAGACGTTTGACACACACCACCATTTTTCGTAAGTACGCTGACGTAAATTAGCAACAAAAGCTCCACCACGCTCTGAAAGTACCTCTCCAATCCTTGAAATCTAACGCAGAATCACTCTTACCAACAGGTGCTACTTTGGCCTGAACAGGCAATTGAGGAGTATAGTGCTCTCTTTGCAAACGAAAACACAACCCTTAAAAAATTATTAATTAATTTATTCTTTCATTTATACTAATTTTCTAAAACTTTTTGGATGTTGGCCCACGAAAGCTTATGCCCGAATTTCACTTTAACTGCCAACCTAGCAACAATAAAATGCATTATAACTGGCAATAAGTTGTGGTTTGCTGAGTTTGATATGAAAACCTGCCAATAATATTCGGGCTCGAGTTGCCTCTCCACTTAGCCCAAATCGAAAAAAAACTACGAGAAAATCATTAGAAGTCACGGTATAATTAATGTTGTGTACTAAGAACTCTTGCCAGATGGTCAGACAGTGCACAAAGAATCTATACAGGGTGCGTTATCTAGAACTTCGGTATTTCAACATTGAATAACCCTGAGTGTTTTGACAAATGTATATGATTCTGAAACATCATTCAATGCCATTTTAATCATGAGCCAATGCATATCGAAAGAAGAAAACTAAAAATAAAAATGAAATAGCTGAAAAACGCCTAAAATGCTGACCAATATTGTCAAAATCAGCTGAAAAGTATCAGAGTTCCTCAACCTTGAAATATTGAAGGCCTAGATTCCGCACCTTTTATATATAAGTTACTTGACGTATTTACAAAATATTCTCGCTAATTTCTCGACAAAATATTGTACACTGGACTTTTATTGTTTGCAATGAACCCTAGATATTTCTTCTCTCTGAATGCCTTTCTCATCTGTTAATCAGGCAATTACAACACTGATAATCAACTCTTTAATAATTTCAAACAATATTATTTATTTCATTCAAAATATTTTTTTCAAACACTTTCACTTTTAGTATTAAAAAATTTTCAATATTATTCTTATTTAAAAAAAAAAAAAAAAAAAAAAAAAAAAAAAACCACCTTTCAGTTGCACGTGCCGCTAAACAACCAACACTTTCTCACAGTTTGTCTGGCATTTTTCACAGCCTGCCACAGGCGTTGAAGCCACACTAATGCCAACTATGCGTTTGCTTGCGTTGGCCAAAACGACTAATACGAATGCAAACATAACTGAATTATTTTCAATGAAATAAACAAGACGAAAATGAAAAGGTCAACAGTCCGTTTATGAGTAATATAAATTTCGAGTGAGCTTTTGCAGCTTTGGTTAGTGTGTTTGTGTGTTTGTGTGTGTGTGTGTGTCTGCACAGACTTACACAAAATATTATGGCATAGAAATATAAGTAAATCGTAGACGAAAATTGTTGATCTCTGCATGGCTTATATGCTTTTGAAGAAACCAAATATTTATTTAGCCGGGCAAGCCTTCATTTCCATCGCAAAGCCTGGCGGAGCTTTACCTTGTCATTGAATTATGAACAGCGGCGAATTTAAATGAGATTATTATTATTATTATTATATTGGATTGAAATGTCTTAAAGTTGGGAAATTTATTATATTTTTGAGGTTTTATGGAGACTACAAATTAAGAGTTTTCATGATTTTTCATTTAAAAAAATGCATTAATGACGTTTATGATTTCAAATTGCTTTGTCTAGTTAATAAATTTTTTTATGAAATTCCTCTTCTATTATAAAGTCTGAACCTTGTTATGATGTACGAAATACTACGTCCTTTTTTGGGTCTCTTCTTACTTCGATCCGTTTGAAGTAATTTTAGAGCACTTTTTGGCACAAAACTGCTGGTTGTTCAAGCGCCCACTCGACGTAAATTGTTGTGTGATCTGGACTTAATATAGATGAAAGTGTAAGTTCAGGTGCAGGATGCGCTATAAAATGCATTAAGAATGTCCCAGCTCTGAAAATGATGAGAAATGTAGGTGTCTTCTGCTTCTTTTTCACATGCTGCAGCGATATTCGAGGTGGAACGGACGAAACGATGATGATGACACGTCTCACAATATCTGTTAGCGATCCAGTTTCTCCAAATTTTTTTAAATCTATCCAAATGCTTGGGTATTTGCACGTTTGTGGTGCTCCTCTTATAACATGAATCCCATCAACAACGTACCGATTGATCTTGATCTAGAAAAAAAAAACACAAAAAAAGTCGTCTCCTTTGACAAGGACATCGCCGGCTCGTGTGGAGTGCGTAGTTTGAGCTGCAGAGCTCAACAAAGTAGATACAAAGACAATATCAATAATATCCTCATAAGAGAAAACAAATAATGTTTGCTTTCACGTGACCGTGGATGGGGATAAGTTTGTAATCGTAGCTAAGAATTAACACCAACAACAATGTCTGCCAAGAAATTTATTTCGGAATCAGTCTTGTTAACAGGTCCGTAGGGTGAGTAGGCGAAAGTATTGTTCACTATCGAATATCAAGCTATACAGTCCGCTTATCATTTCCGTCCTGTTATATGGTATGGAGGCTTTGCTGATGACAACATCCCAGAAGTCGAAGCAGGAGTTTTCGAGAGAAAGGTGATTACCACAGGCGATTAAATGAATTATGAGTTATACTAGATGCACAACGAAACTAACATGGCTCATTGAATTAAAAATCAGTGACTACAGTGACCAAGTATTGTGGTCTAAATGGACAAAAATATTTCAGCATTGAAAGTATTAAATATAGTAGCTATGTTGGGAAGTTCCGGTGGAGTAGGACTTGGCTTCCCTTAGTGTCTCCAACCGCTGTAAAATGACGAAAAGGAAAAACAATTGGAGTCTTTAAAACACCTTTCTGCACCAGCTTGGCTGGAGAAGGAATTGGAGTTAGCGATCTTTGCACGGCACCACTGAAAAAATTTTTGCTCTGTTACACAATCGCAAGTTTCGGACAACGCACTTTTTCCGAAAACGGTAGACAATACTCAAAGCGAGTCCAACATTGAAATGTTAAGTGAGAAAGTGTTCGACAGCAAAACCGATTTTCCACCCGAAACCACTACCGACTCTGAAGAGCAGGTGAATAAAGAGAAAAATTTCGTCACCAGAAGTAAGAAAGATTCAAGAGAACTTTGCATATGACTAAAAACAGTCGCAAACCGAGAAACTAACCGTTGGCCTGAGGTCGAGCAGAAATTTTGTAAAATGTTTGGACACTATTCGGAAGGAAGAAACAAGAACGAGAAGATATCAGATCAGCATGTGTTTTATCTATTACAATTAAAAGATTCGATTTGTCAACTTGGATATGTGATCCAAGAAAAACTAGAAAAGCGCAATAAGGAAATTATATATTGGATGAGTGCATAAGTTCGTGCCTGATTCCGCTGGATGCCGTTCGAATCGTTTGAGAGTGGCGCTCGTTAAAGAAATATATATATATTATATATCGTTGGAAAGGTGACAGTCCGAACTGTAAATCAAGCATAAAATAGCTTCCTTTTGATTTGAGTTGCTTAGTGAAAAGACGCATGGAAGATGGACAACGAAAAAGATCAAATGCATCATATTATGTTATACGAATTCCGCAAAGGAAAAACAGTAGGCGCTGCAACTAAAGATATTCGCGAAGTTTATTTGGACCGTGCTCCAGCATTCCGCACAGTAAAAAAATGGTTCGCGAAATTTCGGTCTGGAGATTTTAACCTCGAAGATCAACCTCGCAGTGGACGGCCTTCTGAGATTGATGACGATGTTCTAAGGACTTAAGTTGCGAATAACTCACGTATTTCGACGGAAGAGGTTGCCAGTGAATTGAACGTCAACAAATCAACTGCGTTTCGTGGTTTGAAAAAG